TTTCACGTCAATTTATTTAATCTGGAGGGACAAGAAGGTTTTTTTCATACAGAAGGTATGAAAAGGTTTTTCATAGATTCGGCGATAAAGACACGTGGGACACGTTTTCCATCTCAACAAATCGCTTCTGGGAAAGCTAAGTGTCGTTACGGAAATAGCTGGCGCACCAGCAGGAATAGCACTTCATTCATGTGCTCGTGTATCTTTATTTAGCTCCTAAGACAAATAGTAAATCCCGGATCTAACTAAGCCAGCCACATTTCTAAGAATGCGAGAAATTATTTTTGTGCAAAGATTTAGTTCAAGTCTCGAGTGGTTCAATTTCAAATATCTCTTATACATTTTTAATATATATAATCTTAAAAACGAACATTTCGTCATATTAATAAAATGACGGATGAACAATTTTAAATAATAATAATTACTTGACAACAGTTCAACTATACTTTATAACATTGTACAATTACAAATGTAAAAAAAAAAAAACAGATGTTCTGCACGTATATATACCACCGATGGAAAAGAATATAAAATGTACATTATTACATTGAGCCCTCAATTCTTTCTTTTTTTCTTTATACGCATGCATATTTATAATGGAGACATTGTCAATTACAATTAAATTCATCTTTAACGGCGACGTGTAATTATCTCCGTGAATTCTTGAATATACACCGTACTCCTCCCTGAATAATATATTCCGCGGCAAAGGCAAGCACATTAAACGTGCTTTCTCTCGTAACAGATAACCGTCCACTGCCTGGGAGACGAGGCGACGTTACGGAGATGGCTGGTCTACGATCCCCGTCAGAGGGTGCAGGGCTGGAGGTTCGCCTCCTACATGCTGTTGCACTCGAATGCACTTCACCTCGCACTCAACGTGGTCATTCAGCTGGTCCTGGCGACTCCACTCGAGGTGAGCCAATCAAGTAAATTGCGGGGACGTCGTTTCAGCCGGCGCGTCGAGACGTCGCATTTAGGGGAACGAGCCTCTCCTCCTCACCACGGCGATTCTCTTCCCCTACGATCAGACCAAACAACATTCCCCATATCGAGTCGAGTTAAAACGCATGCCATGAAAAAACGCAAACGTGTTTACGGAACGTGAGAGCAACACTGACTATCGAGCGAGGAAACGGAATATGACAGAGACAGAGAGAGAGAGAGAGAGAGGAGGGGGGAGGGAGGGAGAGAGAGCTGCTCCCTTAGAAATAACATTTTTATTTAGAAATATTGCACGATATCGATTCGTAACAACGTATCACATTTCATATCTTTTTGCATGTCGAAATTTTCAGCGCACGTTCACCAAATGCGATATACATAATATAAGTTTCATCTATGAGAAACAAATCGCGAAATAATTTTTCACGTACGGAATTTTGCCACTCGGCATTCACGGTCGTTGTAGGTGGAGCAAGGACGAATAGGAGTGGCGACGATCTACCTGGGCGGCGGAGTCTGCGGCGCCCTGGGAGCGTCGCTTTTGCAACCTAGTCTTTACCTGGTTGGCGCTTCGGCAGGCGTTTACGCGTTACTCACGAGTCACCTTGCCCATCTCTATCTGGTAAGTAGGGAGAAGAGGTTCCTCGATGTTTCTCGAGAGAAAGGAGCTCAAACGACATAAGTTGACCCCCGTCAACGATCTTCCCTCGCAAAGATCGCAACAAGAAAAAAAAGAACAAAGAGAGGGCGGGGAGGTCTGTCAAGAAGATGCTGCACTAAAACGCTGCTGTCGAGTCGCGCAGGAATTTTTTCCGCTCGAAATACTATCGCGAAAGAATTTTATTTAGTGAGTAACAGACTCTCCTTCCGCGAAAAGTGGCGGTAATAAAAAATCCTCGAGAGTTAAAACAGAGAGAGTAGCAATCAACCATTCGTATCATACTTTCGTTGATCAAATTCACCCCTTTTTTTTGTCACATTTTGCAAAATATATATACCTCTTTATCTTTTCTTCTTGCCTTTTTAATGATGCCTTTATTCATCAAATCTCAGAATATTAAATTCATATACTCAAAAGAATTTTACGCATTATAGTTAAAATGTATCGCTATTTTTTTTTTTTTTTTAGTATCTGCTGGAAAGTTGTCTATCTCTCGCACGTAGAATTGATGACCAGCAATATTCTAATAATATATACAAAAAAAAAAAAA